CTGAGTTTTTCTTCAGGCCTTCTAAAACAGGCGTAATGCTTTGTTACCAGGTGGGAGAGAGAATTTAGAAATGAATTACCCCAGAGGAAAAATGTTATAAAATTTAGCAAATTAGTTCAGTAGTTATACCTACTATGTGCCAGTTACAGCTTCAAGCTGGGAACTTTGCATTAAACAAAACATGTTCTACGTTGCCATGGAACACATGGAGCTTGAGTCAGTCATAAAGGTGACATGCCCACCTTGCTGCCTGTGGCTAAGATTCAGCGCCAACAGCACTCAGACACTTTGGCATCTCTTTCCAGGAGCTGGGTGCACCTGGGTAGTGCCAGAGGGCCACCAGGTACCGGCACTGGTGTTGTATCATGAAGCTATGATGTTCACTCCACCAGAACATAACCAGAATAAGCTATGATGTTTTGGCAAAGCACTTTCACATCATTGAAAATAAAGTTAAAATATTAGCTCAATCTGTAGCTCTGACATCTCATGTTAATCTTCTGAGCCAACAGAAAATATCATGTCCTCAGAAAAAATGCTACAAACCACTATGAGGTTTTTGCCTTTACAAGTGGCAGTTAAAATAGAACTAAAGAAATGTCATAAGAAAATGTCATAATTTATAAAAATGTTCAAATATGGAATAAAAGAAGGCTTTTCTTCGTTCCTAGTAAAAAAAATATATGTGGTGCCTCTAACCCTACTTTTAAGCTGGCTGTCATATGGCAGTGAGACCACATCAGATCCATACCTGTTTCTTGCTTATCTGAGGAATACAGTGGGCCTGGTCAGATCAAGTCACAGGGAATTCTCATGACAGCTAAAGGTCTTTGCTGCATTGTGCTCAATATACTATGATTAAATCAAAAAAGTTCTGAGTCATAACTTCGACTCATGGGATTCTAAGTAAAAAGGTCAGTAACTAAAAAGCATTTTCTATAACTTGCTATGTAAACAAAATCTGGATTAATCCTTCAAGCCAAAGACCAGAAACTGAGATGGAAACATAATATATGAAGAAAAAATTCCCTGGTGGCTACAGCCAAAGCTGATTTTGGGTTAAAATATTAAATCCATTGGGGTCAGAAACTGAGTCCTCATGTATAAGGACTCAGGTATAAGATACAAGAAAAACACTTTTGCCATTCTAAAAGCTCCACCTGTCTATTTTTTATCTCCAACTTGACCCGGGACTTCTCTGAACACCAGTGTTGGAACTGGGAGGCGAAAGGCTGCCCTGAGCAGGTGAGCCAAGTAGCAACATTTATGAGTTGGTGAAATTTACCTGTTTATCCCCATTTTGGACCAGCCATTTGCAAAATTCGTCAATGGTCGTCAGTGTTTCATAATCCTCTGGGCCCAAGGTAGCTTGATATGCAGTGATACTCTTTATAAAATAAATTGCAACCGTAGCTGAAAGAATAGAAGACAATTATTCAAGACAAGCTATTAGCCTTTACAAATGTCTGGCTCAATTAATTACAATTTTCCTCTCATTTATTTAGGTTCTTTCCAATTTTTCACAGTGAACACCTGCACCCATGTTTCCTTTCCAATTTTGTTAGATATTATCAGATTAACCTCCAAATTTCCTATTCTTCTACACTGCCACATCCATGCAGATCTGTCTTTCCAATCTGGCAAATGCTTACATATTTTTGGATTTTTGAAATGCTCACAGAAGAGGGATAAAAAATTTGACTTCTCTGTAGTTTGAAAGATATGGATATAATATATATGATAAAATTTAAGAGGATTAAATACAAAAGCAACTTTATGATTTTGGAAAATTTGACAAGTTGCTAGAAAACCGGCACTTTTGCCACTTTACATTTCTTGGTTTTTGTTAGATAGAAGCATGTTCCCCAAGGGTTACTGGTCACTTGTATTTTTTATACAGTAAGTGCTGTTTTTTTATTTTGCCTACTGTAGATGCATTTAAATTTTAGTTCTTACTGGGACAGTGATCCGTTTTGAGTTCATGATTTTGTAGGATAAGATAATGCTTTTATTTTCGCACATAGCTACCAAATTGTCCCATACCATTTGTTGAAAGACAATCCTTTCCACATTGAATTACTTTTCTCTTTGTCAAAAATTACCATGTTTATATTGTTCTATTTTTTGATTCCCTGCCATGTTCTAATGACTCTAATCTCTGTGCCTTCACCAACAGCAAGCACTCCTGATTATCACTGCTTTATAGTAAGTCTCAAAATCAAGTAGTATGATTACTCCAACTATATTATTTTTCAAAATTGTTTTAGTTATTGTAGTGTCTTTGCTTTTCCATATAAACTTTAGTCTATTTATCTATAGTTACAAAATTTCCTACTGGTATTTAGAAAAATTGTGTTAAATTCATGTGTCTATTGAGAAGAACTAACATTTTCACTAGATTGAATCTTCTAATCCCTAACACATATATGTCTCCATTTATTTAGGTAACCCCTAATTTCTTTGATCAGGAGTTTGTATTTTTCAGCACACAGATCCTGTATCTATTTTGTTAGATGTATACCTTTCTTTCATTGGGAGATGGATAGGTAATGGGGCTATGGCAAATGTATATTAAAACATTTTTCAGGCCCTCCCTGGTGGCGCAGCGGGTTAAAGCACTGCACTAAGAAGCTAAAGCCACTTCCGCATGAGTTCGATTCCCGCATGCCCCGGAAGTGACCACATGGCGGCAGACCTCTCCTGACCCGCCCGCTGCTCCCCTCAGCAGTGTACTTCATTGATCTGCCTGTTCTGCTCCCCACTCTGTTTCTGGTGAAGTCTTTCACCACCCCTGAGTCTCTGGCTTGTACCCCAGTTCTGTATGCACAAATAAATAAATCTTAAAAAAAAAAAAACATTTTTCAGACACACATTGCTAAAATATAGCAATAGACTGGATTCTGTGTGCAAACTTATATTTACTGATCTTGCATTAGTTAAATTCATTCAATAGTCCAGAGAGTTTCCAGATTTTTTGGACTTTTCTATAGACAGGACGTCACCTCTAAACACCAACTGCGTTATTTCTTCTATGCTATATGCCTCTCCCTCGCCTTCCAGTTCTGGGCTCAGAGCAGCAAGAGTGAACATCCTTGTCTTGTTCTTGATCTTAAGAGGAAAACATTCAGTCATTCACCAGTATGTAGGGGTTTTCTACATGTCTTTTATCAGATTGAGGAAGTTCCCCTTCCATCATGAGTGAAAGTTGAATTTTGTCACGTGCTTTTTCTATATCCATTGATAAGATTATGGGAGGTTCCTCTTTGAGATGTTGCAATGGTAGGGCATATTAATTGAAGTTTAAATACTGAATCAGCCTGACAGTCTCAAGGAAAAATCCTCCCCTGAACTTAGTATAATATTGTTTTTATATGTCGTTATATATTTTGTTGAGAACTTTTATTTTGTGTTTTTGCTTTTTTTTTTTTTTGGCGATGCTTTTCTTGGTATCAGAGTAATGCTTCATGAAAGAAATTGTGAAGTATACCTCTTCAATTTTTGGAAAAGACTATATCAGGATGGTGCTATTCTTTCTTTAATGCAAGGTCAAACTGCCCAGTGAGACCATCTGGGGTTGGAGGTTCTTGCTCAGAAAATTAACTATAAATTCTTTCTTTCTTTTTAAAACAACAGCCTATTCAGATTATCTGTTCATCTTGGTTGTTCTTTTACTTTATGATATCTTGTGACAAGTACAGTGTTACGTCGTTTATAGTTAAATCTATCACATTTTTTCTGGCATATCTTAATGCACTCTCAGTGAGTTTCTCTCTTCTCTAATTATTCTAATTATTCATTTTACTATGTTTTAGTCCAGTATTATATTTTCTTCTGATTATTGCATAATTTTGATTTTTAATGTAGAATACATTATCCTATTGAAATTTAAATCAATGATGTGAGTTTAAAATCCAGATTTTTTCTTTTTTTTTTGATGGTGATGCCTTAGATACATTTTATTGATTTTCTTCAGGACAGATCTTTCAAAGTTATAAATTAGTATGCAAGAAAAAAATAAAGTGGCCTTGGAGTCTCCCAAGTCTCACTTAAGACACATTTTAAACACTTATGAGACTACATTTCTGATAACCACAAAGACTAGATCTTTAGTGATGAAAAAATTATATTTAGAATGTGCTAGCTGGCCTCAGTTTAGATGATCCCAATTTTGTTGGCAGCAGCCAAAGCGTCCTAGTCAGGAGTCAAGTGAACACATGTTGTTTTCTGTCCATCAGCTCTGCTCAGGGTGCTGACCTTGGCCGTATCAGTATCACAGAGCTTCTTCACAGCCTGTTTGATGTGAAGCTGGTTGGCCTTGACATTCACAATGAACTTAGTAGGTTGTTGTTTTCTACTATCTTCACAGCTGACTTGGTGGTCTGCAGGTCTTGACGATGGTACAGTTCAGGCTTGTGTCTCCTGAGGGTACTCTTCTGAGGGTAGCTCGGTAGCTTTTGGAGTCACAGTGCCTTGGGTATCCAGAAGGTAGGTGACGTGCTGATCTTTTTCTTGTGGCTGTGGGTGACTGTCAGCACTGCTTTCTTGGTCTTCAGAGCTTTTGCATTGGCTTCAGCTTTGGGAGGGGCAGGGTTTTCTTCATTACCTCTGGGGCCAGCTTCAAGAAAATCCACAAAAGATTATTCCTTTATATTTTATTCAAATAGATTTTACATCATTCTTCCTTTTTGTACATATATGCTTTATCCTCTCAGGCACAAAGACTATTGAAAAAAATAAAACCTCGACTATATAAATGGAGTGTACAAATATCATGACTACACATAATGACATTTTTCAAAGGAATAAGATGATTAACCAGAAAAGCCCAAGCAAATCTTCAGTGAACATTTATGCTAAAGGAAACAATCATTGAGGTATCAAAATAACTTCTGAAAATTTAAAAAAAAATGTTTCTTTCTGTCTCTCTATGATGAGAAAATAAATGGGTGAATTTTATGAGCAGAGACAATCAGCATTTTTTACAGTTCAAATGACATCCTTCATGAATCCCATAATCCTCCTGATAGGCCACTAAATCCATTAGTGTCCATTAATCTGGTCCAGCCAGCTGGGCATGGGACATTGTCCTTCCTCACCAGTTCTTCTGTCTCTCTCCCACTGCTACCTGCTTTCAAAAGAATGGCCTTGCTGAGAAAGCAATACTATTGAAGGATGAATTCATCTTTTGGCCTTCCTCTAGAACCGCCCCCCCACCCCTGTCTCACTTTTGAATACAGATCAAGAAAATTCTAGGTGCCACAAACATTCTCTCTTGTAAGCCAGGGGAAGAGTCAAAGAGGTTGTGAGTGGAGGAGAAAGTGAAGTTTTTCTCTCTCATCACTGGGTTTCCTCATCACCCAACACAACACAGAAAGGTCACATTCAGAGCACTGAGATCTGCACTCTATGCAGGTGAATTTTGCTGAGACTCTAAGATAAACAGAGGAGAGGCTCTAAGGTAAGTAGATGGAGAGGTATGACTACCTAAATTCATGTGAAAATAACTGTGAATGAAAGTGTCCAGACTGATCTTTTCAGCACAGCTATGAGTAGCTAATTATACTTCTATCCATTTTGATTGGCAGGCCATTCGCCATTCCTCTTTCCTCTTGGCAGGGAAACTGTGGTAACTACAAGGACGCCTTTTCTACCTACCCCTGTGTTGGACCTCTCCGGACATGGCATAAGCCTTGGCTAGTAATGCGTTCGCCTCTGCAGTTTGAGGGCTGACTTCACTGAACAAGCACATACAGATAGAGTGGGCCTGGAGGAGAGAAAAATGATGACAAGGTAAGTAACCAACTGACAAATCTGTAGGGTCTCCCTATGGATTTTCTAGTAGCTCTCTTAGAATTGCTAGTTAACTGAAAGCCAATATATACCTAACTAGGGAGTTATAAGTCCTAGCTCTGCTGTTAAGTGTTGAGCAAGTAATTTCACCTTCATATATAGAAAGAATATGTAATTTCCACTGAGTAGGGTTTGGGGGGAATGAAATGAGACGGTGTAGGCAAAACACTGAGCACATTACCCATCACATGGTAAGATCTCAGGGTTAGCTATTACTATTTTTATTAGGTTTCACAGCAAACATAAAATCCTAACTTTAGCTTAACCTCACAGTGGTCAGTATCAAAGGAAGTCTAGTAGAACACACAGCATGGATACTGGAGCCACAATGCCTGGGCCCCCCCCTTCCCCCCAAGTCTGGCTAAGCCACTTATTGTGTCACAGAACCCCTAACTCTAACTTCTTCAAACAGATGACAAAAATAGCAATGTCACAAAACAGTTGCTGAAAAGATTAAGTGAAAACAGTAAATACATGCAAAGTGTTCAGAGTACCAACTGAAATGTTGTAGGCACTAGAGAAGTGTAGATGGTATTATTATTTGTACTGAAATGAAATGGAAGGTTTGGTGTAACACTTTGGAAGGTGTAATACTTTGGAAGGAGCAAGAAGAGAGAAAACCTCTACCCCACACTCATCAGCAGGAAAAGAACCATTTGTGCTTCATGTTTCCTAGGATAAACATTGTGAGGTGTTTCAGGGCGCTCCAGAGATTAGCAGACAGCACTTTGGAGCGAAGACGCATGACTCATGACTCACACTCATGAGCGTGGGCTCTGGAAATCAAATAAAGTAGGAAGTAACAGAGCTTGTTTCCCCGGATGACTGCACAGACTCAGGGCACTGCCTCCCCACCCCCATACCACGCACACACAGAACAGCATTCCACAAATTGTTACTATTACTGGTTGTTGGGAAACACTGTCTTCTGCCTCATCCTGATGTGACTGCTGCCTTAGGAAAATCCTGGCGTTCTCTTAAGTGCTGGGATTCCTGCCTGCAGGGCGGCGTTCCCTAACATTTCTCTATGGGGCAATGCTAGTCACATCGTCTGTAGGTTTTTGGGAGTTGCCCAAAGCCACAAGCTGGGTTCTCAAATGAGATGAGGAAAGGTTCATTTACCTAGCAGTTTCAAGTACTGAATACCTGAAAGTGCTGCTTTCAATATGACAGGCTCAACATTCCCTCCTACGTGTTTCCTTGGTCTTCTCCCCATTTACTTTCAGGTGAAACACCCTTTTGTTAGTTTAACCTGAGACTTGGAGATCATGACCAGTTAGACTAACTTCTAGGACAAGTCACAGCAATACACAAATTCAGGGGTACCTCAGGTTCCCCTAGGCTCACTGGGCTCCCCTTGCCTACCTCTTCCTAGCACTGATAGGGGAGCCTGGAAGAGAAACACTGTCTCAGGTCAGGCCACACAGCAGATACACCTGGTATGTGTTCTCTGGCCCTGTCATTTCAAGTTAAGGGAGGGAGGCCTCCGTGGTGGTGCTTAAGTCTCAGCACTATTAAGCTGTCCATAGCCACTGCAGCATGAGCTTGATCCCCAGCCATGAAGGTGACCCACATGGCGCAGCAGACCTCTCTCTCCTGTCTCACCTGCTGCTCCCCTCAGCAGTGTATTTCAGTCAGTCTATCTGTTCTGTTTCCCACTCTGTCTCTGGTGATTCCTCTCACCCTCCCACACATCTGGCCTATCCCCCAGTTCTTGTATGCATAAATAAACAAATCTTTTAATATATAAATAAATTAAGGGAGGGGTCCTGTGTGGGTCTGGCAGGAAGTTGGGGTTAAAATGGAAATCAGTCCCACTCCTTGTTCTTCTGAGAAGCCCAAGCTTCTCTGGCCTTGCGAACTGGGCCTGGAGCCAAACAGTTGCCCTGCTGGAACCCACCAGATCACCAACCTGCTGCAAGTACTGGATGGCCTGGTCATGGTTCCGCCGCAACTGCTCAATCTGCGCGATTTCCTCGTAGAGACTGACCAGGTCTGAAGTCCTGTTGCCCTTGGCGGCAATAACATTGCCAATTGCCTTTTCAAAATATGCCAGAGCGAGGTTCAACCTGTGGATGGCCAGGGAGGCTCTGCCAGAGAAGGGGCGAAGATGGAACATCAGAGAGAGGCCACTTACTTTGCAGAAATAAAATGCACCAATTCTAAGAATTAAACTGTTTGACCTTCACAGGTCACTCGTTGGAGTAACTCAGTCCAAGCCCAGCCTTGCTATAAACAAACTCCGACAACTTATATTTTACTCACCAGATTCTACTGAGCACCATTCATCAAACTCATTAATATGTCGTGCTGTAGTTTAATTTTATTTTTAAAAAATGGAAATAATGATTTCCAGCAATTCACAAGATGGGATAATTTACCCATAAATGTAAAAATCCATATTTTTAAATCAAAACAAAATTTTATTACTTCTGGCTCCCTCTTTCTTGGTCAAAACAAAAGTTTTGACTTTGTTTTGTTTGACTTCATTTAGTTTATTCCTCCTCAGTTAAAAATGAGTGGGGATAGAGAAGACAATGTAAATATTCCCCCCCAAAAGGGGAGATAAAGAAACTCTGGATCATACAATAAAAGCCTTCAGACACTGAAAGTCATATTTTCTTCTCAGATGAACTAATATAGAGAGACGTTCAAATTAGAAGTTCATAAAACTGCATACATAATATATATATATATATATAAAACTAAAAAGTAGCAGTTATGTTTGGGTGATACAATTGATTTTATTTTTTTTATTTCCTTCTTCATATCTATATTTTCATATATTCCCCTAAAAATGGGAAATTCTACTAATGAGAACAAGGTATTATTTCATTAACGTTTATCTTTCCAGCAAGGTACAATAGAAAGAACATGATTAACTCAGAGCTGGCTGACATAGTTATTAATGGTCAAGCTCCAGGAGTCTACGTTTTCTTCCAATTAAAACAAGGTTAAGAATACCTAAATTACAAGGTGGTTGACAAGATTAGATTACACATTATATGTATAATTGCCCAACATAGCATGGATGCATAATATCATTTCCTCTTCTCCCCTTATCCCCATCTTTGAATTCTCAGGTTGAATTTAGAATGTGTATGCAAATATGTTATATGAGATATTCTGCAATAGTTAAAATTCATTTTGAGCTGCAAATCTTATCCTTCCTCTGGAGATTAGGATTAACAATGAAAAGGGCTCTGACATGTGATCTGACATTCTTCACCCCACAGACTGGATCACTCAGACCACTTGTTCCTTTCACCGTACATAACAAGTACAGAAAGACATCAAGAGCTCGTAGAGTGGTATTTGCCAAGGGGTCTGGCCTGGAAACATCACCCTCTTCTGCCCCCTCAGAATGGGGTAAGGGCTCTACCTGTGTGCTCAGCATCAAACGTATCCCAGTGTCGTGTCTCAATTACAATGCTGGCTCATCTACCCATTAGTGTTGTCACCTGGACTTTCTGTACCTTCATTTTCTTATCTGTAAGATGAAAATACTAAAAATACCTACCTTAGGCTGTGAGTGAAATCAATTCCATAAGTCTTAGGATGTTACACTTAGTAAATAGGCCAACACGTACAACAGTACTTGGACAAAATAGGTACTCAATAAACAGCAGGGTGAATGAATGAGCACTGGAATGTTCTCTAAAAAAAAGCAGGTCTGTTTTTCACCGAAGGCACAACAATCTCAGCCCCTGTCCCCATGACAGTAGTAGACATTCACTAGACTCTAGTTTATGGCTCTGTGGACTTAGCAGTTGATGCAGCTCTGGACAATGGAACATCTTCCTGCCATTTCCATTTAATAGCCACATTCATGGCTGTTTACAGGAGGCGGAGTGACTCACACACTTCGTTACTGACCATCCAGGCACCTGCCCTACTGTGCCAAGTGCTAACGGTTTTAGAAACAAATGGTTTTCATGGATGTGAAGGTATCTGAAAAATCTAGGGAACGATAAACCTTTTATTCATTTTTTTTTTATAATTTTGACGGGCCCTCTCTCATATCTAAATATTCTGATCCTCAGAGGATCCCTAACTCAGCAGCAAAACAGACTTGTTCTGTTGAAGCAAATTTCATGAACTTTGTTTCCATAGGGAACTGACCTGGTCTTAAAAACATGTGCTAGGGGCCTCTGTAAATGGTCTTTGCAGTATTTCTTTCTCATCTTTTAAGATGTCACACTTAATGCCTAAAGTAGGGGGCAGTTCAGGAAAAAAAAAAAAAGGAACATCAAAATAACGTGAGGTGTAGTACATGGAAGCCCTAAGACTGTTTAGATAGGTCACTTAACATGCTCTCTGTTGAGGAAATAAGCACACCAACTGCCTCCCTGGGCGTGGGAGTGAGGACTCAGGGGCACTCACATGAAGCTGAGCTCACAGTGTGTGCATTGGTAAACACAGGGTCTTTTACTATCATTTGCGTTGCTGAGGTATTTTGCTCAGTTCACTTTTCTTCCTTCCTATGGAGCATACAAGGCAAATATGTAATTCCAGGCCCCATAAGAACCTAAGTTTCTCTAAACCCAGATCTTACCTGCCCAAAGCAACAGTTAGGTCCTTCTCTGAGACCTGCAGTCTAGAAACACCTTCCTCAAAGAATTCTTTCAGTTCCTTCATGTTTCTCTCTGCCTTCTGCAGGTTGATATAAGCTTCTTTGCCAGTGAAATAGTCAAGGAAAATGCCAGAAACACAAAGTCCCCAGTTTCCCAGGAATAGCAACTGATAAGTGAACAAAAGGCCCCTTGGGAAAATGGAGCAGTCCTGGAAAACAGGCATTTACTCCATGGCTGATGAGGTCAAGAAGGGAGAATTCTCTAAAAGGGGAACAAGGCTTTGGGTTTCCTGTGGTGGGTCCCCGAAGCCAGGGCTAGGGTGGTAGTGAACATTCAGAGAGTGAGCGGAAACTGTAAATCACATTAGATTTCCTTTAGAGGCATCTACTGCGTGACAAGTTATTCATTTTTCCCAAGTTGGTTCCTATGAATGGTATAAGAGAGGAACTAAGTCTGCTGAAAGGGACTTTTGGGCCATTTAGAAAGTCTAAGCAAAGCAAGTTTTTGGCGAGAGGCAATACCAGGAAAGAAAATCCCCTTAATTCCCAAATAGTCTATTTCCCACATTTTCAATAACCTCTTGTGCTGTGGGTAGAAGGCCACAGATCAGATTTTGCAAGCTGAGCATGAAGACCAAAAAAAAAAAAAAAAAACCATAAAGGGATCAGTAGAAAAGAAAATTCCAGGCCATATGGACTCAAAGAGGGGCCATGATTATCCATGAACATGAAACCCCTCACCAGCACTCAAGGGCACAAGAGGCCAGCAGGATCACATCCTTTCTGAGGAGAGCGTATAACAGCAACCCCCCTCTGGGATGTGCACAACTACTTCTTTTGTCTATTTTGCTTGGCCTTCAGCCTCACGGGCTGTATTCTCAACAGCATTTCAAAACAACAAAAATGATCCAGAGTCCATTAAATCAGAGGATTTTGGCTGCATATTGGATCACCTGGGGGATTTTTAAAAATCTCAGTGAACAGATGCACCCCAGACCTACTAAATCAGCTTTTCTGGGGTACAAGCTAAAAGGCAATAATTCTTAAAGGTCCCTAAGGGGGAGATAATTTGTAGTTTAGCTTGACAGTGCTTCCAATTAGCAGCCCTTTCTCCCAATTCCCACACCACCTCCCACCACCATCACCAATTAACTGATTGGTTTGAGCGCTCAGTGAAGAGTGAGACTAGACTCAGAAAAGTTTCAGCTGGTCAGAGACGGTCTCCAGCTTCAGTAAGGCCCTTCCCATGGCTCAGCTTAGAGCTTACGGGAACAGGCAAAAGAGCATAAAGAGCAATTGCTTTGTATGGTCATACCATGCTTGGGGAAGGGCTGGGGGCCAGCATCAGAGCAGACCAGGCCTCGGCCCCATGTCCCACCTTCCCGTGTGAGATGAGCCATCTGGGGAGTCTGGCCCACACCCCACTGCCACAGCCGGCTGGGAAGGGAAGGATATCGGTTCTGCAGGAGGCAGGCCACCCCCAGAGTATAGTAGAGCATGACCAGAGCTTCCAGGATCTCCTTTTTCTCCTTGTCTGAGGTGGTGTTTCCCTTCCAGGTCAGCAACGTGGGCTTCGCCGACTCGGCATGTTTCATGGCCTGAGATGGGAGGCCTGGGGAAAATTGAGGATGGGTGGCAAGAAGAAAAACATCAAGAAAGCAGGGTGAGTCAAAGACATTTCAAGAAGTGGGAGGAGGTGGGCAGTGTGGTGGACATCTATGGTCTGTAATCTTCGTTGCCCAAACTGGCTGTACATCACAACTCTCTAGAATGCTGGTAATGAGGATAGATCCTTGGAGCTCACCCCAGACCTCCTGAGTTGGAATAGCTAGAGAAAGTGAGTCCAGGATTCTTATTTTAAGTTAATTCCACCAGAACTTCTTACATCGCCTTTCAGGGCCATAGCACCAGTTGTGGCCCTCGACTGGAAACCAGTGATGGAGGCAGGAGCAGGATCTGAGGATCCCATGCCCAGCTCTGCCACTAACGCTACGTGACCTTTGCAACCACAAGACTTCTCCATCCTGTAATGACAATTGCAGAACCTGCTGCTTGCCAACACATGGAGAGAGTCCAAGAATAAACTAGGTTATGCCACAGAGGGGTAGGCTTTGAGTTTTCTGGAAAATGCATTCTATAAATACAAGGACTAACGAATACAATTACTTCCATCTGTTTTTTAATTTTTTTCCCAAGATGGAGCTGGTAATTCTAATTGGTCACACGCACAGAGAATTAAATTTCTAAACACGATGAGGCTCCTTACTAAGAGGACAAAGGGGAGGCCAAAGCCAGCCTGCTTCCTTGTTTGCTGTTGTCGCTGGACACGCACTTGTGCTGTTCCCTGAACACTCAGCACACACAACTCTTCCTCATCTTGCAGCCTCACGCGTGCCTCGTGCTGCTGGATGGGGAAGGGGCGTCCCTGGGGGAATGGCAGCAGAGAGCACATTATTCTGGAGCCTGCCATGGCTGGTGCTCACTTTCAGTGCCTCTCTCTGCAGCACCAGGGACTGGTAAACACCATCACCCCGCCACACAGCCCACTGTGCCCCAAATTCCACCTCATACCCTCACCCACTCCCTTTGGGTCCAGAGCTGACTTCAAAGGATGGGCACAGTTCCGGGCAACTGGGAGGATCTGAAAGACCCCGACTTTAATGCCTGCAGCCCTCATATGTTCCAGATGAGCAGGACATCCTGAAAGAGTTGCAACATAAAGAGAACAAAGCTCCCCTGGGAGAGCCCTAGAAGGACCCAGAAACCAAGAGGTTTTTGGAGGACATTCAGAGATGCCTGGTCAACACAGTTCTCAACTGAAGAGAAAACTGTACTCTGTGCTGAAAGATGGTTGTGTCTGAAGTTACAACAGTGGTGCTCAAGTTGCACTTTTTATCACAAGCATCCAGTGAAGTGGCAGGTTCTCAGCTCTGTTTCCAGAAGCTATGGGTCACAGGTTCTGAGGTGAGACCCAAGGAGTCACCCTTGCAACAGCCACCCTTGGCTACACGGACGCAGGTCCCTGAGGACTGGGTAAAAGGAAGAAGGTCACATGTCGATTACAAGAGTAATAACTAAGTCTGACTGACAGGAAGGATGAGGAGGAATTTCTGCTTGGTGTGAAGTCTGCAGCCCTAGAGACAGAGAGAAAGTGTGTGTTTGCTTGTGTGTGCATGTGTTACGTGTGTGTGCTTGTGTGTATGCATGTGCGTCAAGTGGGGTGCGTATGACCCCTAAGTATGCAAGATGCTGTATGGTGTGGGTATAAGGGTTCAGACGTTCTTCCTCTTTTTTTTTTATGTTTTGCTTTTACTCTCTACATATCACATATATTGTAATACCATTCTACATAATTTATAATAAATACACATATATGAAGGGTGGTTACTCAATTTTTTTATAGTGCTAAGGGAACTAATTCTCAAATATTTGGAAATCACAATTCTGGACAAATGTTTCCCAACCTTTTCAATTAAGAATCAGTTCTTTTTGTTTAAAAAACCCTCTCACTTAGGATATTTTAATATCATTTCCTGTGTGAGATAATTCATGATGACAGATAGTACTGGGAATCAATAGCTGTGACAGCTGAAAATAAGTTGATTTTAATTATAAGAACACCTTTTTTTTAAAAAGTAGCCTTGCATTGCATGCACATATTTGCAGAAAACTTACTTTGCGCATCGATGAAAGGTGCTCAGTTTGCTGATCTCTTTCCCTAACGCCAAGCCCAGGCTCCTTGCCTCCAGTGTCTCTGCTCCAAGACCAAGTCAGCTTCCTTTACTTGCCCTCCAGCCTTAGAAGTCTCCCTTCTCTCTGCTCGATGAGGGCAGAAACACCTGCTTCCACAACCTGAGACTCAGATAGTATCAAGAAATACTGATGAACAGGAAAAGGGGCCCTGAGATTGTCCACCAAACACAGATTATTTAGTCTGAGAGGAGATTCCATCCTGGCGTCTGTCCCTCTCAGGTGACAGAGATGCCACGAGAACTACACAGCGTTCCAAGACTGCTGTTGTCACCTGCGATGATCATGAAGAGTTAGGAAGTTGGCGATGAAGAAAACAGGATCTAGAGCCAGTTTGCCCAGGTAGAGATCCAGACCCAGCCACCGCCTAGTACCCATGTGGCCTTGAAAAATTACTTCTCCTCTGTGCCACAGTTCATTCACCTGTAAAACGGTAATGCAAACACCTTCCACCTCGCAGGGTTGCTGCAAGGACTAATTTAATTAATTCATTAAAAGGACTAAGTAGTACCTAGAAGAATAAAACAAATCTGAATAAATATTAGTCATTATTATTACCAAGTCCATTCCTCTTACTGAATTACTATGTGTCCTTACTTTGGCTATTTTTCACCAAGCTTATAGAATCTCCTGCAGGTCTCTCCATACCAGTTTTGGTTTTTGTTAACCAACCAGATAAGAGAGCAGGGTTCGGGACACAGCCTTCTTTTTTGTGTATTTTGCAACACTTATGGATAGCTGGAAAGTTCCCAGTAGCAACAGGCTGACTAATGTATTGCTTCATTAATAATAAGCAAAACACCGGAAAACTGCTTGTCCGTGTTACGTATTCCCTTCCTCAACGCCCTGCAAGTGGCCACTGGCAACAAGCATCAAGCTGTTCACTGCCTGCCCTCTTCCCAGCTGCTGGGGCACCGGCTCTCCAGGACACTCCCAGGTCCGCCGGCAGTGGCGTGCCCATGTTCCTTACCCTGCCAGTGGCTCCTGTGCTCCACGTGACAAAGGCCTCGTGTTCGAATCTCAGGTCCCCAACTCCTGGAACCCACTCTATCCATAGCTCCACTTTCAAACTGTCCTCACTGCCTAAAATCTTGGACCTCTCCTCTTATGCAATCATTTTCACTGTACTTTTCTGCCTTTTTAGTTCCATCCTCCATCGCCTCATTGCTGTGTATGAAACAGAGCATCTAGCCTACCAGCGCTGTTCCTTTCCCTCCTTCCAGGGGCTGGCTCCTACCCTTCCCGTTCCCCCCCCCCCATTCAACAAAAACCATCCTGCAGCCCCTCAAGGCCTCTTATTCAGTAACTCCAGCCTGGGATAGCATCGGACACCCAAGCTTCCACTCCCAGGCCCTCGCCACCTGGGCTCTCCACTACAAACCATTTCCGACTGATTCCTTGCTAACCCTTTACCAGGCCTTTTGCTCCCTTCCACTCATATATCTGTTCTCCAAGGGGCTGTCTTTCTGTGTCTTTCTTCTCTCTGCCCTTCTCAGGTGTTTTACCACTCCTATACCTTCCACTTTAGCCTCTGTGCTTAGAATTTCCCACTTCCCATCCCTAGGTACAGTCTCAAGTATTCCTTCCTCTCAAGTTCTGGTCCCAAATTTCCAGCACCTACTAACAATGCAAGAGTGGCTTTCTCTGCTGCCATCAAAGCAATATGCACGGCTCACCCTAGCGGCACCGGGGGTTAAAGTGCAGCACTATTAATTTATCCTCAGCCACTGCAGCACAAGTTCGATTCTCAGCCCAGGAGCTGACCCACATGGAGCAGCAGACCTCTCCTGCCTCACCTGCTGCTCCCCTCAGCAGTGTACTTCGTCAATCTGCCTGTTCTGCTCACCACTCTGTCTCTGGTAAATCCTCTGACCCTGCACCTCTGGCCTGTAACCCCAGTTCTTGTATGCATAAATAAATAAATCTTTAAAACAAACAAAAGTAGTCAATATACAAACCTGGACCCACCCAGGCCACTTCCTTTCCCAAACCAGTTATTTTCCAAAAAGGCAACTTCGGGAGCTTGAAACTTCATGGTCATTTTTAGGTTTCACTTTTCCTCACCCTAAATCAAACTTCATGGCTTGACATGTCTTCCTTCACAGTCTCTTCCCTTTAATGTTTTCAATAGGTAATACATGTCTACATCTTAAAGGTCAAAAACATACAAGAAGGTAAAGGTTCAGAGGTCTCACTTGCCACCTGTTTCCTTCACTGTCACTTCTCTGGGCCACTGTCTTGGTTCCTGCCCTGTGCCCCTTTCCAAGTGTTGGTGGAAGTACAAGCACATGGGGCCCTCCCTGTGGTGCAATGGGTTACGACACAGCACTGCAAGCTGGCTGCAGCCGCTTCAGTGCGAGTTCCATCCCCCATCCTGGAGGTGACCCACATGGCACAGCAGACCTCTCCTGCCTCACCCACTGCTCCCCTCAGCAGTGTACTTCGTTGATCTGCCTGTTCTGCTCCCCACTCTGTCTCTGGTGAAGCCTCTCACCGCCCCTGCACCTCTGGGCTGTACTCCATGTATGCATAAATAAATAAATCTTAAAAAAAAAATGTACAAGCACATGTTCTTGTTTTCGCATCCCCTCTTCCTCACACACAAAGAGGCACATCGTAAACACCATGTGTTCTCTTTTACCTGAAGGATACCTGGCTGCGCTCCCCTCGTGCTGTTTCCTCGTCTCTTCCGAGGCTGCAGAGATGCTGTGGCATGTATGAACATGCTTGTATAAGCAGGCTCAGTTACCTCGACTTTTTCACTCCATAAACAATTCTGCAGAGACTAATCTTAGCCATATGTTATTTTATTTATAAGTGAGTCTTTAGTAAAGCATCCCAGAAGCAGGAATTCTGGTTTAAAAGATAAATGGATCTGTCCTTCACGGCCTCTTAAATCCTCAGCTTCTCACTCATTGCCTGTGTCATGAGCCTAGTTTTACACTTAGTTGACTGAAATAGCTTTCCATTCTGTTATCATTGCTAGATTAACCTTTCCAAAAGCACACTCTGATTTATTCATGCTCCTATTGGAATATCTCCAGTAGTCTTACTTGCCTACAAATAAATCACAATTCCTTAGCCTGGATTTCATACCCACCTTGGTCTGCCCAATGTACCTTCTTTCCTACCAGTCCTAACTTAAATTTGACAGGGCTGCTTACTGTTTTCTAAACACAGGTCACCCTTCCATGTGTTTGCCCATGACTTTTTCTGTCATCAGAATTATCCACTGGGGCTTACTTGGTGGCACAAGTGATTTAGTCTCAGGACTATGAAGCTAACAGTGGCACAAGTGATTTAGTCTCAGGACTATGAAGCTATCAGCAGCCACTGCAGCATGAGTTCGATCCCTGGCCAAGGAGCCTACCCACATGGTACAGCAGCCCTCTCCTGTCTCACCTGCTGTTTCCTTCAGCAGCGCAGTTTAGTAGATGCACCTGTTCTGCTCCCCCCCTTCTCTCTCTGTCATAAATCCTCTCACCCTCTCCCCACCTCTTACCTGTACCCTAGTGCTTATATGCATAAATAGAACCAAATCTTTAAAAAAAAAAATTACCCACCCTTCCTTCTGCCTTCCAGACCCTACGCATTTGTGGAGGGCTTTCTTGAAGGGCAGCTCTTCCTGAATCTATCACTCATCACCCGCAGCCAAAAATGATTTCCTCCAAATTTCCCCATACCCTTTATTTAAAGCAAATGCACTCCCAATGGCACCTTCCATTGTGGTAACGTCTGATGCCCATACGTGGCTCACCTCCTACACGAGGTCGTGGATTCTCTGAAGGAAAGACTTAGCCTCTGTCCCTACAGAGCGCTGGCTGCAGCATTTCCCACATGAAAGTCCCTCAGTGTATACTCACTGGAAGAATTCTCCTTGAGGGAAATCAGCGCTTTGGCATGACCTGCACCCACAATGTTGGAAAAGACTCATGGAGGAGTAAGGGAAGCAGGTATGACGACTACAAAACACGCACATGTGCAGCGAGGTGAGAGTACCACCCCAACACACACACACACACACATCCTGCCTGCACAGAAAGGACGCTGACTCAGCAGTGCTGTCTTAAAGCAGCTACAGGATTAACGACAACAAAACCAAGTAGAAGTCACAAGCACTTCATCCCTTTTGAAGGTTTGTCATTTTCAAAGCCCTTGTTGTTTTATTCCATAGCTCACAGGCTTAAAAAAAAAAAAAGTGAAAATGAAAATGAAGACAGCAGGTACAATGGGCTAGTCCCAAGGAAAGGTCAAGTTCACAATTTATTCTGGAAAGACTTAAGGCTTGGCTTCGAGGATACGCAGCTACACCATAGGGATTCTTTGTCTAACCAGGAAGCTGTTTTGCTCATTTAGGGAAAAACAAGGCAATAAGATCTTTCTCTGAAGGATTACCTCTCTCCCCCCATAATCTATTGCCATAAATGTGGTTCTCTGGGTTCTCCCTGGCGACACAACAGGTTAAAGCACCACATTATGAAGCTCTCCAAAGCCACTGCAGCACGAGTTTGACCCCCAGCCAGGGAGGTGACCCACATGGTGCAGCAGATCTCTCCTGACACGCCCCCCCCCGCTGCTCCCCTCAGCAGTGTACTTCGTCGATCTGCCTGTTCTGCTCCCCACTCTGTCTCTGTTGAATCCTCTCACCCACCATACCTTTGGCCTGTACCCCACTTCTTTAAGCATAAATAATCTTTTTTTTTAAAATGTGGTTCTCCACTTACACACACAAAGAGCTATGGGGAGGATGGTGTTCTCCAGATCTATTGCAGTATGACCCGTTGGTCTCTCTTCACTCAGCTTTCCCAACTGAATTGCCTTGTTCCATCCTCCAGACTTTGTTTTTCTCTCTATTAGGGTGTCTACTGGCACCCATCATGCTCCCAGAGAACAGGGGCCACTAGTTTCATTTCTGTACCCTCAGTGCCTGGCACAGAGTCACCAGGTTTATCACACCAGGAGCTCTGTAAATGTCGTAGTCACAAGTCACTAAATTTGGCTCTTAGCATGAAGTCACCTGAGTGAAACAGATTCCAAGCAAGGGCCAACCTAGCTCTGACCTAGCTCTGCTAAGGGAAGGCTTCCACTGAGAACCTGACACAGAAGGGTTCCACTGACGCCTTTCTGGTGTCCCTTAAATCTCACATATAATTGGCTCTGAAATAAGTGAGGACACCCTCTGTCCTTAGCCACATCAGTCTTCTCTCAGGACACAACAGATAAGTTCTTGAGGTCTGAAAGGGGCTCAATGGGCCCTCACCAGGACTCAGAGCATCCCTGTCCCTAATGTCAACCATTCGTAGTCTCAAAACATCAATAGCAATGAATCTATAGTCACATTAAAATCCTGAGCTCAAAGGGGACCAAGGCACCCCAGGGAGAAACAAAAATCCTGAGGTTCATAATTGGAAAGTGAATCCACTTTTAAATTTTTTCAAAAGATTTGGTTTCTGCTGTCTAAGCTCATTGTGGCCCAGGTATATCGGTTCCCTTCTGTAGTCGTTAAATCTCTGAAGCCCTTAAAGCACTTAACTTGCACAGTAAGTTTGGCCCCATGTCAGTATCCAAGGGGTGCTTGAAACAAGCAGTAGGCCAGTGGCTCAGTTCTATCAGGCAGTGAGATTTGTCATCCCAAATGTACACTGGAGACAGTGTGAGGTCAGAGACCTACTGCCTGCCCACAGGGAGGCCCTAATTCAGGGAGAGAGTCATTTAAATAGAGCAGATATGAGTGCAGTGCCATGAGCCCCAAATTAGGAGTGTATGTGGATGGCAGAAGCCTGGAATTGGGATGCCCCTGGTTCTAAAAATGTGCTCTTGTATCTCAGTCAGCAAATATTTATTGAACCTATTGGAAATTTCCTTATGGACCTAGCACTTTGTTCTACTGTTAGTGGGTTCTTAGCTTGTTCTGTGCCAAGGTCATTTCTCTAGGCTGAGGGCTCTCTCTTTTTCTTGGTCTTCCAGGAACTTAAGTTCTGTCTTTGGAATTCAAGGCCTATCACTACAGCTTCCCCCTCAATGCTGAGTACATATGCCTGCCTGTGCTTCTCCTATTAACCTGATTCCAGGTCTTTTGCCCACAGTGGCTCAGAATCGTCATCCTAAAGTACAAATGATAACAGTATTCCTCTCCAAGGATATTATAAGGACTAAATGAGACTAACTTGGCACATGCTAAATACTCAATAAGTTACCTATCATCACCATCATCATCATTATCTTTACATCCCAGATCCCTGTCACACTATCTGTCTCCTCTGGATGAGGTATGAGTGGGGTACAGAACGGGGCCCCCTCGAATGATCCTTACACCCGCCATGGTTGTGTAGCATTCATGGGCTAGCCCACCAGGCCCAGGCAGGGAAAGCCAGTACCTCTCAGTGTCAGGTAGCCATACGCCAGGTTGGCCACAGCCTGCGCACATTTCCAGTGTTCTTCCCCAAAAATAATCCGAGAAAGGATGACACAGCGAATCAGCTCCTTGTTTGCTTGGACATTCTGCAAAGAGCAAATAAATCGTTATGCTCTTTGGAAAGCAGGGGAAACCCCAGCCCATGCGCTTCCACGCAGCATCCAGGGCTGCATCTACCTGTCACCTGTCTTCCTTCCCTTCCTTTCCCCATCCTGTGCCCAACCCATTAAGTTCTGTTGGCTGCATCTACTCCTAAATCCAAAAACTAAGTGCTTCTCATTTTTGCCATTGAAGTCCAAGTCACTGGCCTCTTTCACATGGCTGACCACGTCCACCCCTTCCAACTACTTCTGCCCTGCATCAGAGCCAGAGTGACTTCTCTTACTGTGAAAAACTTAAATACAAAAAAGCCAAATATCGCATGGAGAATGGCTCCTGTAGCTTCATCAGCTACCTACTTGGTCTTATTTCATAGCGATGCTTGTCATTCACCCATCCTTTCCCACTATTATGTTAAAGCAAGATGTTAAATCATTTCCTATTTCATGATTATCTCATGAATACCCAAAAGACAGTATTAAAAACGTAACCATGCCACAAACCACAGTTTCTGAGAGGAAAATCCTGAATAAGAAAAGAGAAAGGGGTAGGTGGTCATGGTGTGGGGAACAGGGGTGGGGTGAGTAGGCTCTTCAAATACACTGAATGGTAGTCTCTATTTTGACCCTCTGGTGGTGGATTCAGCTGCGGGGTATATTTTGACCACAGGATGGCCCAACCCCCAGCTTGTGATTCCTGCCAACATGTGCTTTAGATTCATTCTCCTGGCAACCCTGATATTGGGCCTTGTCTGCTCAACTCTGGGCCCTGGCTGTTTGGCTGGGCAATTGCCCATGAGGGTTCATTTAATATTTGTTGAGCAAATCACCTACCTACTAACGAGGACAAAGATGGGGTAGGGAAAAGATCCTCCTACCCCTATAGAACTGAAAGGCAGGGAGCAACGGGTTAGGACACAGCACTGCAAGCTAGCTGCAGCCATTTCAGTGTGATCCCCAGTCCCGGAGGTGATCCACATGGCGCGGCAGACCTCTCCTGACCTGCCCACTGCTCCCCTCAGCAGTGTACTTCATTGATCTGCCTGTTCTCTGTTCTGTTCTCTACTATCTCTGGAGAAGCCTCTCACTACCCTTGCACCTTTGGGCAGTACCCCAGTTCTGTATGAATAAATAAATAAATGTTTAAGAAAGAACTTACAGGCAGAACTGTCTGAAATCACAGAATTGTATTTTAAATCACAGACTTCAGTGACTTTATACAATCATCACTTGGCTGCACTAATAGACAGTCAGGTCTTTATTTCCTGGCGAAGTGAAAAGAGCACTTCAAGGAATCAAGAGAAGAGTTTCAACCCTGGTTCTGATGTTTCCTGGATGCGGTGCTTTGGGTTGGAGCACTCTGAGTCCCAGCTTCCTTTTCTATTTGGAAATCTGCCCTCTCAGAATTATTACAAGGAAAAGGAGTCCGTATCAAAGGAATCAACATTTATTAAGCACTTCCTAAATGTAACCCAGTGAAAGATTAGTTCTCAGGTACAATACCCAAGAACTGCCTCCTCCTGATTCTTGTCTCCTCCTCAACCTCAGGTTTCATCAGCTCCCGGTTCAAATATTCAGATGCAAATGTTGTTAGAGGGACATTCCCCTCAGGCTTTAAAAATGTCTATTCAGTCAGAATGTTTGAGAGCTCTCCATGGGCCAACCAGTAAGTTCTAATTTTTATTTTGAGAGACATAAGGAAAGGTACTGGAATTGGAGTCCAAAGTGTTGAGTTCAGTCCTGGTTCTGGCCATTCTGTTTTCATGCACCCCCAACCTTCATGGAAAAGCTGAGACAACCAGTATGAGCAGCTAGCCTGTTGCTGCCAACAAGCCTCCTGAATGCCAACCCTGGCTGGGGCTAAATTTAACTCGGAAATCTACATCTTTTTCATTATCCAAACTGGCCAAGGAGTTGTCAAGCCTTAAAAGTCCACACTTGGGTCCTCCCTGGTGGCGCAGCGGGTTAAAGCACTGCACTAAGAAGCTAAAGCCACTTCCGCATGAGTTCAATTCCCGCCTGCCCTCGA